ATTAATTTACAATTGATTTGCAACACCCCTATTCAGCCAAGTTGATGTGTTCAGTGTAAAAGGTCGTATTTGAAGGAAATTACATCTTTTATTTTCAGTGATTATTGACGACTCAGATTCATCACGATGGCTTGGGGTTGTTCATCGTTCGCCCTGCTGGCTACCATCGCTTTAATGCTGTGTGCCGTCACTTCTGCTCAGTCTTCATCAAATATTTCTGCTCAGTCTTCATCAAGTATTTGGGATCCCTACATTGTAGGTAAGGATACAATCTTACTTGTCTCAGCTTATAATACATTTCCCAGAAGTTCACTTCATTTGCTCCAACTCGACAAAATGCAAAGGATATCCTTTAATCTTTTAACAATACACTATACCCCCCATCAAGATCCAGTGTCATCGTAAACGCTTTCTGGATTCATATTACATCCCTATTAAAACGATAATAGCATTATCACATGTCTGCCCCTCTCTGATGGGCGTTTCATTTCATCAGAAACCGAGGGGGTACAAACACGAAGTTTGTTGATATCAGAGTGTTCGCTGTTGAATAGTAGGATATAATTTGGGCAAATACATGCACGTTGAAAATGAACTTTCGATTCACTTGTCCATTCTACGTATGATACAATACACCAGTGTTGTAGGCGAGTCACTTGAGTCGATTGCGTCTCGAATCATTTGGTTCCCAGTAGTCCGAGTCACGAGACTTTTGGGTCAGGTCCGAGTCCAGCTACATTTCTCTAGGCCCGAGAATTGGTAGGGTATTCGCTGATACATTGAAGAATTACACCAGCGATATGGAGAAGCGCCAACCTGCTCCAAACACAATCGGCAGTTTATACCACAATTTTGTATCATGAACAATGATATGAAGACTGATTTTATCAGTTTTCCTCTTATTGGATCCTACGAAAGCCCATTAGCGCCACTGCAAGTATATATGTTGCGGATTATTTAATTCGTTATTACGGATTACTAATTCGTTATAACGGATTATTTAATTCGTTATTACGGATTATTAATTCGTTATAACAGATTATTAATTCGTTATTACTGATTATTAATTAGTTATTACGGATTACCAATTCGTTATAACGGATTATTAATTAGTAATTACGGATTATTTAATTCGTTATACGGATTACTAATTCGTTATAACGGATTATTTAATTCGTTATTACGGATTACCAATTCGTTATTACGGATTATTAATTCGTTATTACGGAATATTAATTCGTTATTACGGATTATTTAATTCGTTATTACGGATTATTAATTCGTTATTACGGATTATTAATTAGTTATTACGGATTACCAATTCGTTATAACGGATTATTAATTCGTTATTACGGATTATTTAATTCGTTATTACGGATTACTAATTCGTTATAACGGATTATTTAATTCGTTATTATGCTTGCATTTTCGACTAAAACAAATCAACAATTTACGCTATAGGAACTATTTGACCTTATTGCATGTTTTAACACAATCTTAAAGATATAATGTCCGGACTCTTAAAGAAATTCGAATTTTTTTCCTTAACGTATAGTCATCTTGAATCTTTTATTCGGACGATAAAACCTTTTCTCTTATTTTTGATAACTGCAAACCTCTTGAGGAAAGGCTTTTTCATTGGTTTTGTGCACAAACAGATCCGCCTTGCGAGCAGACTGGTTACCTGTCTCTATATCATCTTTACTGATAGATACGGGTACCATTCTACGAGAGCTGGGTTATTGTTGGGCCGCAAATTATTCTAATTTGTGAAGTCATTCAAGTCAATATGCCAAAACGTACCGTGGGTCTGACGTCTCATTCAAAATGATTTTTTGGGTAGAGCCAGCTAAAATAATTCTTTCTTCTTGGTGAAACTCCAAAACAGCCCGGACAGAACATCAGGTAGATAACATATTTAGGCTACATCCTGGGTGCAATGAGAGTTCGTGCATATGAGGTCACATCAATCATCAACTCACAAGAAGAAGAATACTTCAGTCATCCAAAGGTTTACCACTGAGGAAATTTTACTTTGTGCGACGAGTGGAAACCAATTCTCGACTTTTGATTCTTCTATCAAACAACATTGATATTGCTTATTGTGTTAATTCTCTTTCAATTTTGTGCGGTAACAGAGCGCTGCCCGCCCGAGTGTACGTGCTACCCTTGGTGCGTTCGGTGTTCTCGCGGTTGGAATCTTGAAACCATCCAAAGCATCGACAACAGTACATACTGTCTGTAAGAAACACGCCTAGTTTGTTTGATTATTAAAACATTTTGCACCTATAAACTTTACTGTTGTGGTGATTTGTTTTCATTCTGTCATTGTTTTGTTTCTCATTTATAATAACAATAAGGAGAACTGATTTTATTTGAAGCATTACCTAGTTTCCCCTTGAGGACGTTAGTAAAAAAGTACGACACAATAACGGACAATATATAGAATGAGCACTAAAAGAACAAACAACGTGCACAATTTGACGGATTGACATAAACTGTGTGAAGGTATAAATTAAGCTTAAAAATCCTGGTCTGAAAGGTTTAAGATTGAATACTAAGTTTATTCAAAGCTTATGTCAAGAATTTAATATGAGATTGTATCGTAAAACGCTTTTTGTGTTATACATTTTGTGCTATAAATTGCACTTGCAAATTATACGAGTCTAATAATGTGCATTGAAAGGGGACAGTAGGTCCTATCTAATCCAATTATCATTGTAGTTCTGTCCAACCCAGCAATGTAATTTCTTCATCTTTTCGTTTCATGATTGTCTACAGGAAACTAAAAGAAGGCAATATCTCACATCTGGAGCCAGGCGTATTCAAAGGATTTTCTCGTCTCGAATATCTGTGAGTGTCTAGTACCTATTTTGGGCGTCTGCTTTTGTTGCTAAAAAGACCCACCCTGTGAGTAGACTGGTTCCATGTCCTTACATTATCGATCTTGATAGGGGTAGGAAGCAGTTTACACTACAGAAAGTGAATTACCGACGGGCGTATTTGTAAAAATTTAACGAAAACCTATTTTCCCTCATTCAACAGAAAATCCGAATGGTTTACATTTCAAGCTGGCCCACTGTTTTACAGTTTACTTTCACCGGTTTGTTTTTTTCTTTCTCTTTTGGTCTGTACTTTTTCCTGATATTTGTATATACTCCGGTTGTTTTTCAGAACGTGCAACATAACTCGAGTATGTTCCTTTCATTCTGTTTTCATTAACTACATACCCATTAAAGACATACTCATTCAAGGGCGGATTCAAAACACAATTTTTTTTGGGGGGGGGGGGGGGCTAAAAAACAATTGTCCCCAAAAAATTGTACCAAAAAATTACGGCGTGGGGTTAGATTTTTTTGTTTTTTGATTCTTGAATGATGCTGTGTGGTGCGATCTGATGCAATGTCTGACCACTCGAACCATTTTTTTTGTTAGGAAAAGATGGTGTTGTGTGCAGTGCCTGCCTTTATTGCGACGTCACTTAAAAAAACAACAATTGGGTTCGTTTTTTGGGCCCCCCCCCTCACTGGATCTGTCCTTGTACCCATGAAAGACGACTGAACACGTACAAACTACAGATGCTCAGATTTCACATTATAAATCGAAATGCTCAACACAGTTCCACCAGTGACGATTGGGAACAATCAATATCAGAACAGGAAGTGATGATTGGTGGATTGAGGAAGCTGTTAAACAAACGGCAAGAGCTAGGATCTCAGTGTGCGGCTTACAGGAGGTCCCGACACTCAAACAGGGTCATATACCTGTTGAGGCTGCTGAGGATGATGGTGTTTTGAAAATATGAGGTCCACTGGTCATGCCATGCCAGAACACGTCAATCTGGGGTTGGTTTCATTATTCGATTCGATGTCGACGTTGGTGAAGTCGCCTACATTAGTCCGCGTCTTCTGACAGCTGAACTCACCATCCACGGCTGCAATCTTAAGAAGTAGTTGGATCGCTCCAACGAAAGGCGAAGAAATTTCAAAGTCCACCTTCTACCGCCAACACCGCGAATGATTTGCGGTGACTTCAACGCGACTTGCTCACTGGCCGAATCTCACTGCTATTTTCGACACAACACCACTGTTGAGGTCGGGACATTCTATGAATAACAACGGAGATCGATTGCTAGAATACGTCCGGGATTTCAAACTGTCGCTATTGAATATAATATGGTATGATCAACATAAGGTCCGCTAATGGACTTGATACAGCAATGATGGTGTTACCAAGAAAGTCCTCAAGTACATCTTATGTGATAGCTGGATGAGACAAAAATGTGTTCAATTGTCGAGTGATGCGCTCATTTGACTTCTCGTCTGATCACGATTAGCTGCTGGTTGCATCGCTTCGAACACCAGTGCACCGGCAGGCGCGTTTTCGTCTACGTCGCTCCAAACCACCACGAACACTCGATCTAGATCAGCTAAAGACCCAGACACCAGAGCAGAGCAGCCTATAGCGAGCTGGTCAAGGAGAAGCTCCAACGTCTTGACATCACCACTGTCGACGATTTCAACGTGAACGTTGTTGATGCGCTCCAGTCTGCCGTCCACGCTACCCTGCCATAAAAATCGAAATCCCATTGCAAATCGATTTTACAGAAGCGATCCATTGCTGCAAAACTTGTTTCGAAAACGGAACAATGTCACACATTCGGGAGAATCAGAGGGACCTAAAACCAACTTTGTCCAGGCTGCTCCTGAGCAAAACCCGTCAGCTCACTTATGAGTATTTCAAAACAGAAGCTCAGCTCATAAGCTCACTCCATACCCAGCGCAAAATAGAAATACTGATCGCAACTGCCAAACAAGTGACCACATCATAGAACCAACACTGGCACTACCTGCCTACCAGACCAAATTCGTGCCAATTAAGTCAAGAATCACTTCAATCCCCTCCAACCCACCTCCCACCCAACGGAACTCGATCACCTGCTGTTGCTCACAACTTTCTTCCAAAATCGAATCCGATTTCAACCATGACCCCCTTCCAAAATGGAAATTGAGGAATGCATCAAACGTCTCAAGAACCATAAAGCCAGTAACGATATCCTTCCCGCATTTCTCAAATCCATCTACACCAACCCAGCCCCTATTGACGCGATCTACGACCTGATGACGCAAATCTGGGCGACCAAGAAAATACCGGAATCTAATTGGGGGAATTCCAATCTGGAAGTTTTATGGAAAGGGAAAGGGTCCAGGAAGGACGCAGCCATGTACAGGGGTCTAGCCATTGGGAGCACCATGTGCGAAATGGTTAAAGCAATTATCCTAAAACGTCTCCAGGGTTAGTAGGAGGGTCAACTCTGCGATAACCAGTACGGTTTCCGAAAACAAATCCTAGCACTACCGATGGCATCTTTGTTTTGAAGCGTGTGCAGCAAATCACGACTGCGGAGTACGGCGAGGGGGGCTGGAGAGCCCCTTCTTGTACTATTTGTACACAGACTACGTGATGAGAACGTCTGTGTATGAATCGTCAAAAGACGAAACCAACGATTTTTTTCCAGCACACCCACAACCTTGCGCAAACATGCATAAAAGACCGCCTAAAAGCTCCATCGGCGACATCCAAACTCTTTTGCCCAGCTCTCCTGGTCCGGATACCGGATACGCCGAATATTTAATCCTTTTCCTCAACACTGCACCCGCCCTCAAACACGTTGCCGCCCTCCTCAACGACGTTTCATCAAATTCGGTCTCAAGATCAACCTTACAAAGACATAGACGATGATATCAAATTCACAACCATCAACACCAACACTCCAAGTCTATCCTATCCAAATCAACAACATGGACTGTAAAACATCAAAAAGTACCGATCGACAATCAAGTACCTGGTAGCGTCAAGCTAGCCACCACGCGCCTGCAACGCGCTTACATATCCAGTAGCGGAGATTGTTGCAGTATCCAGCAGATGCAGATACTTGGGCAAACAAATATCACATGACCAACCCAATACCTGCGACCTCGAAATCAGCTACCGGATCGACTGCGCACGCACAAATTCTGCTGCTTCTTCTTATCGAGTCCACGTCACAAAGCTAAATTCGGTTCAGCCAACGCCGAACACATTTCTCTGCATCTTCATTGTACAATGCAAGGTCGGCAGCTGTGCAAGGGTGTTGTAGAAGAGGGCATCTCAAAAGGTGCTCCATAGTTTGTGGCTCTACGCCACAATCACACATGGTATCATTGGAGGAACTATATCCCCACTTGTTGAGTGTCACCTTGGCTCTGCCAACTCCAGTTCTCAGTCTGTTGAGGCATTTCCACTTTGCCCAGCTTGCGTCTGCACCAGGTGGTAGTTGCTCTCTAGCCATCAGCCCCATGGTTGCCGAGGGTGGCAAATTGTTGTTTCTGTCTGCCCACATGGTGACTCGTGCCTCGCTTGTTGTGTCATCCTCAAGAGGAGTTACACATTTTAGAAAGCTCTTCCTGCTGCTGCTAACAAGGCACTGTTAGTAATTTACTTTTTCTGCTGAGCAAATTGATATAACGGGATTCAATCGGGAAGTTACAATATTAATTTTCTTCTTTTTTAAGAAAAAAATATGTAACAAATAATAATAACTGTTACATTCACCACAATGTGGGTTCAGATGATTATGTTTCAATGTTATGTCTTTGGAATGTAAATTAGAAATATTTGTTGTACAGGGTGTCTATAAGAAAGACAAACAAAGTTATCATATCAACAGGATATGAACTTAACGACCATTATTATGGTTTTATCATCAACTACGGATTTAGTGCTTCATGCAGGGCAACGCCTCCAAGATAATTGGAAATAAGCTTACAGCTCCCCAGTCTATGATAAAACCATAATAATGGTCATTAGTAAGGGAATAAATGTGTGCTCCGGAGGTTTTTATCACTCGTTTAATACCGCTTAGAGTCTGGGTGCTGATAATTACCCGAGCCGGAGGCGAGGGTAATTATCAGCACCCAGACTCTAAGCGGTATTAAACAGAGTGATAAATACCGACCGAGCACATATTTATTCCCATTCATAAATACCTTATCCGTAAAAAAAATATCAAATAATTCGTTTAAAAAATCCCGATTTTGTTCAACAAGTTCACTTCATGCTTTTTGAAGCATCCCTCTAGCAAAATAATGGAGTGTTCCGCTGGCGAGTAAGATGTAAACAACCCTTTTATGGAGATTGACGCGCGCGTAACATGTTCTGCGCGATGTCACGCAGAACGCACCTGGGGCGTTGCGTTTTGAATTTAGAACTATAAAATTCTGACTCGCTTGTAGTGTTGCGCATGCCTACGTGAGGATTGTGAACGTTCAACCAATGAAACGGTAAGAGGCACTGGATTTTTAGGAGTCCACATTTTATTGTGACACTGGAAGAGTGTTTAAGACAAGCTAGCCATGTCTTTATCATCCGTTTAAGACCGGCCACGTGACGGGCTCTCGACCAATAGGAATAGCTAAACTGTCTGAGGTATTTATGAATAGTACATATTTTGGTCACATTTTCCCAAGTTTTAGTGTTATCTTTTTTGGAGGGCACCATACATTTACATTTCTGGTTGTGTTTTTTTACTTGACAGTGTGATGGACAGTCTTCCTCTTCAAAGGATTCCCAACGGTACATTTAGCGGGCTGATCAATCTCCGCGAGCTGTAAGTTTGATACGGTTCCTGTTTGTTTTTGATGTCACAGCTGTCAGTGCAATCTGTATTGCATCATGAGCTTTGGCATCAATCCGACTCTCTCTAAAGTTACCGTTAAGCGTTTTCTTTGGAGTTAGAGTAACATTACTTAAAGTAGCTGTTAAGCCCAGAAAATTTTAATCAGGATGTAGTCAGTCATTTTTCTATATTTTGATTTAACAGATAATGTTATTGTCACAATTTTGTGGTCTTAATAGAAATACATGTGATCAACATAGCTGTCTTTGGAGTGATCTCTGTTTGCAAATCGCTGCTAGTGTACGCTCATATTCTTTCCACAATTAACTTCAGCTTGATGAGACAGTTATTTTGGCTGTATGACATTCTTCGAGATCATCTGTTAGGTTCGTTTCGTGTTTAGTAGTTATCCAAGAGCTAGCCTTGACCAAGGCGTTGGGCTTATCGATTCGCCGATAAAAAAAAATCGCCGATAAGAAAATCCCTAATCAACTTGGCAAGGCATAATTGCGTGCACATATATCGATGCCCGTACGCTGCTAGTGAGAAAGTAACTTGTACCATACAGCGAGGCTATGCTTGCACGTACGCACGTACACACACGTACATGTACTCGTACAACAGCCATGCACACAACAGCCATGCACACACAGTACATGCATGAGCTAGTCCGCGTAAGGCGTTGGGCTTATCGATTCGCCGATAAAAAAAAAATCGCCGATAAGAAAATCCCTAATCAACTTGGCAAGGCATAATTGCGTGCACATATATCGATGCCCGTACGCTGCTAGTGAGAAAGTAACTTGTACCATACAGCGAGGCTATGCTTGCACGTACGCACGTACACACACGTACATGTACTCGTACAACAGCCATGCACACAACAGCCATGCACACACAGTACATGCATGAGCTAGTCCGCGTAACCCAACGCCTTGATGGTTTTGAGTTGACCCAGCAAAACCTATTACGGTAATGAGGTACCACCCCCCGCGTATACTGAATTCTCATTGGTCAGCCCGCGATAGGCTAACAAACACGTCGCATCCGCGAAGAAACGCTGCAATGGCGGCCCGTTGCTGTGGGTGAAAGTCGTTCAGTCCCAGTCTGTCCGAAGCAGTATTGAAGGCTCCAACGAATTCTGCAGGTAATGCTGTCATTAGACGATCGTTGCCCACTCAAATGGATTCATTACACGAGCCGAAAAACTCGAATCAATGTCAAATTGTTGAAAAAGTGACGAACATTTCGCTCTCGCTAAAAAGACATGGAAGACGCCATGATGACTAATGCATTATGCATGCAGCGCGACGTCACATGATTCTTGTGAAGCTTACAATTGGTCAGCTTAAAAATGAATTAATCATACTATTGGGAAGGTTTTTTCATGTGATTGGTCCAAGACGAACCTACATAATCATCACGGCATACCCGCATATCCTGAAGCCCGCCCATTTTTTTCCAAAACTGGACGAAAAGGTAAAGAAAGACATTAAACCCGGAAGTTGCAGACCCAACAAGGCGGTCGTTCGACAGGCAACGCGGCGCGTATATCCCGCACACGTACGTACATGTACGTACAGTACACCCACACGCAGAACACAGTAGGCCTACATTTACTGCCTTATTACACCATGCGTACATGTACAGTCCGTACTCACGTGTGTGTGCTTGCTGGTTGTGTTAGTACCGAACCGTTCGTACGGACATGGGTCGGTGGTACACGCACGTAGCCGCGTTGATTGTGGGTGCAGGGCCCGATTATCTCCCTTCGACAAAAAGCCGAGAGACCGCATTGAACAAGGCTATCCAAGAGCATGAAGTCGCTGCAAGCTGTATGCAATATCACACACTTTGTTGTCGTTGATGAATAGCTGCAGTAACGAATATGCAAGTAAACTAATGTTCTTTTTAAAGCTCGCTAATATAAGTCATAACAAAAATCGTTCAGGTTGGACTCGAACCCATGACCTCCTGCTTTCTAGTGCAGACGTGTTACCACTCGACCACCGTGCTTAGAGGATCGGTTGGCTGGTTTGAATATGAAGTACATAGCAGCGGGTACCGCATTTAACTATTCATATTAAGATGGAAGAATATTTGCGCCGGGGTAATGTAAATCAATATTAGGTTTTGCCCTTCACCGATATATAAACACTGTATACTCAGTGTAACCTCCCCATTGAAAGTTGGAAAAAATCACTCAGTGGGACTCGAACCCACGACCTCCTGCTCGTGGGTTCGAGTCCCACCCGAGTGATTATTTGAAAAATGGTCTTAATCTGCCCAATGGTTAAAGCTACAGTCCATCATTTGTAATTTGTGCATTTTGTTCGTTTGAAGCAACAAAAGAGTTCAAAATCTAATGAAGGATACTGAGCAACTAACCTGATGAAGTTTCAGCTCAGCTTCAGCTGTACATTCCGAGAAAAACAGCATTCTAAGATCTCAATTTCAAATCAAAAGTTACTGAATCATGTTTTGAATTGTTTTGAATTGCAGCTATACGCGACGTTGCGCACTGATCCGACGAATTATAACAACCGCGCGCGCGTGTGCGTCGTTCCAATACTTGTGCGCGCTGCGCTGAATAACAAAACGAACTTCTAATTTAAATTTTCTTACGGTGCTTCTTAAGAATCACCGTTGGAACTGCCTTCTTTCGTTAATTACTTCAAAATTACAGCTTCCCAGAAAGAATGATTTCACAGGGAGTTTAGTTTCCTTACTATCTTTCAACCAAGTTTGTTTTTCAACAATAATTACGCCAGTTACTTTTCGGATGGCTGCAAATGATGGACTATAGCTTTAAATTAAAATGAAATGGCAAATCTACGTTCATGCCTTATAGGCCGTTTAATTGGATAAAGATTAAAAACTGAAAGGAAAATAATTTTTCAATAGTACTATTAACACCAATCTAAATGTATATATTTTGCAGTGTATTTCAGTTTTGTTATATTCCCCTTTTGATTCGATAGTAAGATGGTAAATCTTCCGCTCGTGTCGATTCCAGCTGCTTCATTTAGCGCACTCTCCAATCTCGTATACCTGTAAGTTTGATATGCCTAGTATCTTGTTTGTGCTCAGGAGTTTATTTACTTCAGGCTGTATTATACGGAAGCCTGTTCGTGTCAGGTTTTAAAAGTGAAACAAAATATTGTTGCAAAATAACGCAATAATTTTGGGAAAGAACGCAATACTTATGCGAAATAGCGCAATAGTATTGCGAAATAATGCAATATATGGAGAAATTACGCAACGTTGTATGGAGAAATAATCCAATACATTGCGAAATAACGAGATAGCATTACGTAATTACACAATAAGTTTTTGTGACATGAAACGCAATGGTTTTTGCAAATAAGTAGGTATATAATGCAATGGGTCCGAATGATAAAACCTTTATTATAGGCATACTTCGGCAAATTCTCACGCAATATTTTATGAGAGATAAAATTTGTGTGGTGATAAAAGCCTACCCGAGTGCGTGGCGGATCATGTGCTTTTAAAGGGGGTTGACGGAGGGTGTTGAAGTTAACACAGAGACAATTACTAAGAGGGACCAAAGGCCTAAAGCAAATGAATCCAGATCTTATGACGATTGTTACTTAACGATTTTTTTCGGGAACATTGTGATTTTCTCTCCAGGTTTCATATATAAGCCTAACATAAAATGAACAAAAATGACTTTGGCCGGACGGAAGATGATGGTTAACAACCTTAACAATCCCCACAGTCCACCACTGCCTAATACCCCCATATAAGCATGTCTTATAAAACAAATGAAGGGCTAAAGGTACAGTTATATGGCCGAACTTTCAAAAATTCGTTGAATTTCTTCACGACATTTTAAAAACAAAGTTTCAAGAGTGTTTCTTGATGCAAGGCATCAGTGAACTTGCAGGCGCGTTTTCGTCTACCTCGCTCCAAACCAACACGAACACTCGATCTAGATGAGCTAAAGACCCAGACACCAGAGCAGTCTATAACGAACTGGTCAAGGAGAAGCTCAACGTCTTGACATCACCACTGTCGACGATTTCAACGTGAACGTTGTCGATGCCCTCCAGTCTCCACTACGCTGCTATATTCGAAATCCCATTGCAAATCGATTTACATAAACGATCCAACGTTGCAGAACTTGTTTCGAAAGCAAGACGAAGTCAGACGTTCGGGAGAATCAGAGGTATCTAAAGCAAAAAAAATGTCCAGGCTGATCCTGATCAGAACCCGTCAGCTCACTAAATGAGCATTTCAAAGCAGAAGCTCAGCTCATAAGCTCACTCAATACCCAGCGGAACATAGAAAAGTTGATCGCAACTGCCAAACTCCAAGTGACTCTACTTATAACCAAGACTGAAATTAACCTGCCTATACCAGACCAAATTCTTGCCCAGGCTTCAAGAACTGCTTCAATCCCATCCAAACCACCTTCCACCCCGGAATTCGATCATTCACTGTTGTTAACGACCTTCCTCCAAGAAAATACAACATCTTAGCCGATATCAACCATGACCCCCCTTCTAAAATGGAAATTGAGGAATGCCTCAAACGCCTCAAGAATCGTATAAGGAAAGTCAAAATAGTCCTCCCGAATTTCTTAAATTCATCTACATCAACCCAGCCCCTTTTGACGCGATCTACAACCTGACGCTGCAAATCTAGGCCATCAAGCAAATTGCAGCATGTTCATCCCTTCCACTTAGTTTGTACGCATGCGCCAACATCTCGGCTAATGCCGGTGACTGTCGAAATGGCAGCGCGGCGGAGAGGAAAGACACACCAATTTTCATCTGAAAACATCCTGTTTATTTTGCTATTAAGTGAAATACAATGCAACCAGTTGAAATGAAATGAGTTGATTTTCATTTCATTTGCCATATTTTTGAGAAAAAAAATCGATGTTTCTAGAAAATGTCGTTTTAGATCGCTGTTTGCTTCCATTTCCATGCAATCATCGGCAAAAGAGCTAACTTAATTTGGTGATT